AAGGCATAGGAGATCAGCCCTTTTCAAAGAGAGAGCGAGAGAACCTTGGAAAAGATGAGGTTTTACCTGAGCCTGCTCTTCAGCCCAAGTAAGCCACTCAGACTCCGCAGGGTGAGCCTGTGAGATTTAATGTTGGAGTATAGAGGATGATCAGAATCCCTGTGGCCCTGGAAATGAAGGAACCCCACAACCTTCTACCTTTTCTCTATTTACCATAAGACTGAAGACTTTTGCCAGGACCTGTTCCCACATCCTCTGAGGTTTCACACTGTGTATGTTTATGAAGCTCTGGCTGAGCGTGGGGCACACGGCAGGCCGGAGAGCGTGAACACCAAACACAGACACACGGATAAAGCGAGACTCTGATGAGGCGAGAAAGCACCAGGCGTAAATCTGCCCGCGGTAGAGAATGGGGAGAAAGAAGTCCGTGGTCTGGAGGAGACTCATCCCTCCTAGAAGCTGGCCGGGAGATGGGCCCCGACGCACAGGAGGAATTGGGGGAGCTGGAGAGGTTGGGGAGGAGCATCTCCTCGGCTTGAGGTTACAGCGGGGACCCTGGCCCTGCTCCAATGCAGGATGGAGCCAGTGTCAGGATCAGGGCCGGAATATACAATTGGGACTTTTTCCCAAAGGCAGTGGACAACTTATGGAGCGAGGCTGTGGGACGTAAAAGCTGTGTCTCCAAAAGCCCAGGAAAATGGACCCCTACTCTGTAAAACGTGGGTGGCGAAAGTATCGGCAACACGCTGTTCGTGACCTGCAGCCTGGTCCTGTACGCTGGTCGGCTTTGCTGGTCTCAGGCTCCTATTTACATGTGGTTGCTGAACGTGGGCCTGAAATCAAATGGCTCCCAGCTCTTAGAATCTTAGGAAAGGCAGTGAGCGAGCGACAGGCTGGCTGGAGCTATGGGTTGTGGGGCAGGACCTTCCAGGCTTGAGATGAAGGAACGAGTTGCAAGCGGGTGGTGATGGCTCCTCAGAGCCGGCACCCTGCCTAAAGGTTGGCGGTCCACATGCTTTTGTGCAGCCTCCCTCTGGTCCCCACTGTGATGGTGAAGGCCAGAGACCTGAAGAAATAGGATCTTGCCCAGGCCCATTCTCCATCTGTATTTACATTATTTGTGCTCGCCAGATGGATTTTTCTGTGATCTGACCTGGTTTCCTTTAGCCGGTGTGCTTGGGCTAATTAGCAGCGCAGGGGTCCACTGGTCTTGTTTGGAGAGCGTTGTTGCTATGGCAACTGGAGACTTCCCTGAGGCTGGAGGCAAAGATGAAGCCGCTCAAGTGTGTTTTTCTTGGGGTGTCAGAGGTGCTTCAAAATTACTCGCCCTTTCTGACTGTGGGTCGGTCCCTTGGACCCTAATGGGATTTAAGAGTCTGTACCATATATCTTATCCCTCAATTACAGGGATTTAGCAGGTTTGCTGATCTTTCTGGTATGTGTCAGTAAGTAACTTGAGAATAGACTCATCTTATCAGGCACATGCTAAATACACTAATATATGTGGAATTGCTAATTGATCTAGAAATGATGGGTGCATTCCTTGATTTATCCAGGTTTCTAGGATGCCTTGGGGACATCAGTAGGAGGGTTGGCAGTGGAGCCCATCTAAGTGGGCTTAGCCGACCTTTAGCGATCTAGAATATGCATGCTCTGATCCAGAGGCCAGCAGAGGGGGAGGGGTTCAGGTCTCATTAGGGCCACGGTTAGAAACATTGGGCATCACTGGTTTGGTGGAGAGAGGAAGTGCTCTGCTGTAGCAGCCTCTGCATCTCACAGAGTGGCCAGGTGTGGGCACGTGGAGTCTGGAGTGTGGGGTGGGTGTGAAGAGGCGGTAAGGGAGGGAGGGAGGGGCAGCCTGGCCGTTTGAAGGCAGCATTTCCGGGAAAGAAGGCTGGGACTAAGGAGAGGAGACTGATGGGACTGTTGGGACTGATGGAGCCTCAGCTTCAGCCAAAGGTCTGGCCCAATTGGTGCTCAGGTTTGACTACACTAGGGAATGTGTGATTGCAATGCTAATTGCTTGCATTGTAATAATTTTGGATGGAATCTGTGCTTTCTTATTGTATAAACCCATGATTTTACCTTCTGGGCATGATTTGGGCTGCAGTGGCTGAGGAAGGAAGGGAGGAAGGGGAGGGAGTAAGCAGGCAGGAGTGGGGCATAGCGGATGGTATCTGTGTCATCAGCAGCTCCTGTGGATAACCAGAGCCCAGGGTCTACGGAGCATTTAAGCTGGCTTAAATGGCCCTGGACTGCTGTTTTTTCGAATTTCCTTGGTCTAACTTGGGTAGTTGTTTTGTCTTGTTTTTTAATCGTTTCCCTTTTTGTTAGTCGTTCTTAGTCCTAGAAGTGTATCTTAAGCAGTCCATCTTGGTTGGTCAGCTTGGGCTGCTATAATAAAAATAACTTGGGCCAGGTGGCTTACACAGAAACATTGATTTCTCACAGTTCTGGAGGCTGGAAGTCCGAGATGAGGGTGCAAGCATGGTCGGGTTCTTAGGGAGAGCAGCCCTTTTCCTCTCTAATCAGTCTCCCTCCCCATATTTTTTAAGTTTTCCTTTTTTCTGTAGGCAGAATTACTAGCTAACCAAGCTTGTTTTATTTTATTTATTATTTATTTATTTTTTTGGCCATGCTGCACAGCATGCGGGATTCTAGTTCCCCGATCAGGGATCAAACCCGTGCCCCCTGCAGCGGAAGCGTGAAGTCTTAACCACTGGACCACCAGAGAAGTTCCCAAGCTTGTTTTAAATTGTGTGTAAAATAAACATCAACTGTCTTAAATGAGGGTCTGAGAAGTTCTTCCGGAAGTTCATCACAGAAACTAGTAATGCACGGATTTCAGTTGCATCGACCTCAAGGGCTTCCAGGTTGTATTTGCTTTCCCCCTGGTTTTTGGTCATGTTTTTAAACATCCCTGAGATGGTGTCAGCCTACTAAGTGAAATGTCACTAGGTCATAAGTTTATGATTGTTGGGATTCTAAATAAAAACACTTCACTGTAATGCCTCCTCATTTCCTACGTGGTGCTATACTTAGGGGAAAACGTTTCTTATAAAGAAGGAAAGAAAATTAACACCACTCAAGCAGCAATTACAGTCCTGGTCCCAGGCTTTCATACATATAATTTAATATTCCCAATACCCTGCAAAATAGATGCTTCCTCACTTTTGCCAGCTGAGGAAGCAGTGGTTCAGCATGGTCAAGCGATTGGCTCAAGGCCACACAGCAAAGGAGGGAGAGGTCAGGAGTTGAACTCCCTTCTCATTTCAAAGCCCTCTCTTGTTATTGCAGCAAATCCCTACCGGTTAAGGATCTGGACACTTGGAAGGGTCTGTGCTTTCACATGTCATGAAAAATAAAAGTTAGCAAACGAGTTCTAATTGTGGTTTCTCATTTTTTCCCATGTATTTTCCCAGTGCCGAGTTTGGCTGAAGGCCATACATACCCTCAGTGCCCAGGGAAGGGGTCACTTTCCTCAAAAGATGAAGTCTAAGTTAGTGCTTATGAAGTTTTCAGCTCCACGTGGTCCGGTTCTTTGGACTCCCAGCTGCATATGTGGCCCAAGAGGTCTGTTTTCTGAGAAAGAAACAAACCCTCGAGGTGCCGAGAATGACAGGATGAACAAGTCTCAGAATCCCTGCCACCAGATGACACGCGGCACGACAGTGAGTGACAGCTTCCTGGGAGGTGCTTTCTAGAGCAGGCCACCCCCTGACAGTCACCTTCCCTGCGAGACTGACACATCATTAGCTATTTTCATATAAATTCGAGAAAGTAAACCACCTCAGCGTTTCCTGGAAATTTCATGTTGCTGCATCCCGGGAAACGATTTTGACTTTCTGGCTCTTTGTTTGACACTGATCTTAAATGTCAGCAGAGGAAAGTCAGCCCACCATGAAGCTCTAGAACTGCTCTGACATCAGGAGCCACAGCCTCAAAAGTACCCGTCCAGACATCCCTGGCCACAGTTTTAGAAAACACTCAGTGTGTTGGAGGACATTTCAAAATGCTTTGAGTTTTGTTTCCATTTAATTTTTCTTTTGGCCACAATTTAGATGCATTTTAGGCTGACGGCGCTGTGGGGTAAAGAAATGCTGGGAATCTGGGGAAGAGTTTTCAATTTACGATCAGAGGTTCCACCTTAACTCAGTCGTGAGTCTGTGTTTGGAGCTCAGAATGGGATGGATGCTCAGTTCCCAGGTGGGCCCCCAAACCTCCTGAACCAAAAGGAGATGAAATCCTTCTCTAGTAGCCTTCGATGATGACGACGCCCAGGAGCCCAAGCAAGACTTGAGGGTTTTGGAGGCAGCCAGAGCCAGGTGGGGAGACCCCAGCCAGGGGGATGGGGGTGGGTGCTGTGGGCACTGGATGGGGTGTCACAGACACTCCTGCAGGCCCAGCCTGTGTTTAGAATCACAGAGATGGATGTTTTGATTGTATGTCAGGGAGGGCTGCCTTTTCCCTGTGCACCCTTAGCCTTAAGGGGCTTGACGTGCTGCTCGCAGCTTGCCTGGCCTCTGATGGTTTAGGATGAGCCCTTGCATGGAGCTTCTCTGTGGATCCCTCATCTGGTGGCCAAAGATGGGGCTGCAGACTCTGTAGCCGCTGTGTTTCTTTCTTCCCCCAATCCCCCCACCCCCAAAAGGTGTCCTTGGAGGCCGGGCCTAGGTTCACGAGGGGTGGGGAGGCGGGGAGCCAGGCCCTCGCATCTCCCTGGTACAGGCCTCAGCCAGCGCCAGCGTGGCCACCGGGCCTGAAGGAGGCAGAAGCCGCCAGGATACTGCACACGTCTTGCACATTTCCCACTGCAGCCTGTTTACCTGCTCTCCCAGCCATCGGGAGAGTCCACTTCCTTCCTTGGAGGGATGAGCCAGCTGGAATGAGAATACCCTCACTCCCTCTGTGGTCAGCCTGGCCGAGACCACCACGCCCCTCCCTCCTGGGGCCCCGCGCTCCCCAGCCCGCAGTGCATTTGCATTTCAAAGCCACACAATGCCGGCGGTCTGGGCGAGGCTGCGGGAAGCTGGGGGAGGCGACTTGGGTGTAGAGGGAGGGTCTTCGCCCCGTTTCCGGAGCCAGCGGTGGAGCTTTGTGAAGATCCAGGCGTCGGGGGCTGCTCGGTGATGATGACATCACCGTGTCGTACACGGGAGCCGGGCTGCCGGGGGGTTTGAGAGCATATCCATTCGGGCCCCCCGGCGCTCACGCTCACACTCGCGCGCCCCGGCAGAGCCGCGCGCGCCGTCCACACTCGCGCACACACTGAGGCGCGCGCCGGCCAACCTCGCGCGCACACTTCCGCGGCGCTCGCTCCCCGGGCTCCGGCTCGGGCCCCGATCCGCAGCTCCCCGCCGCCGCCGCCGCCGCCGCCCCGGATGCCAGCAGCTGCTCCCATCTGCAGTGCAGCAGCCCCGGCCGCCGGCCGGCCCACCCCGGGCTCCCGCTGGAGGAATCGTGCCAGGACGCTGGCCCTACTCGCGGCTAGCCTGCTCGCCAGGGCGCAGCGAGGATGGGAGGGTCGCAGTCTCTGCAGCCAGTCCCAGCCAACGACCTGAACCTGGAGGCTTCCGAGGCTATGTAAGTGCTCCGCCGGGCCGCCCTGGAGGCCCCCCCCCCGTGCCCCCAGGGGGAGGCTACCAGGGCTTTGTTAGTGCCCCTTCTCCTGATGCCCGGGCAGCCTGGAGCTGGGGCTGGCCCGGCCGGTCTCTCCAGGCA